CTTGAGTCATAATTTTTGTAATCCCATTAGTCCTTATTGAGAGAACAAGCTTCAATCTGATGCTGGAAGGATGAATCAATTTATATCTTTCAATTTATATCTTGCTCTTAAAAAGAACTAAATAAACTTGTGGCCACTGTTTCTGTCATTTGCAGAATCTCTTCACAGTGTTATGTCACTTGTAATTGTAATCTTGTAATCTCTGTGGTTCTGCATGGCAAACACTCTGGCATTCTCTAACAAAATCTAGTTTTCCTGTTCTCCACATTCCAGTCACAGATAAAAATGTTTTATCTCATAAAATATTGGGCCAAGAGTGTTTCTATCTATCATTTTACAAGAGAAGAACAAAACTAAGCTTTATCTTTGAAGAAACAACATGATCTTGTCCTTTTAATAGAAAGAAGAGATCCTTTGCCTGTGAAAATTAAATCCTCCACAGTTTGTAGTTGCTTTTAAAACTCCTCAGCCTGACAGTGAAATTGTGTAATCTGATAATAGCATGCCTGAGGCTTGTTGTGATTTTTTGGGCAGTAGTATTAGCAGATGCTGTGCTCTGTTGGTTTTAGTCACTTAGGGTTTCATCCTGATCCCACTGACCTGAGTGTAAATGCAGTGTGATTACTCTGACTTCACTGGAATTACCATACAGAATTTGGGGTAACTGAAATCCGCATTTATTTAATCACACTTGTAGTTCTGCCGTGGGCTATTCAGAAGTCACTAAAGAAAGAAAGGTACAGGTGACTTTTCTCATCTCTTTGTGACAGCTTTCTTAATTCAAAGAGTGTTTGCTGCTGACCAGTTGTTAGAATTGCCATGTATCTGTCTGTGTGTTTGTACTGATGACTCAAGGTCTCGGTGCTAAATGCATACACGGGGTGACTTTCCCTTGTCTTACAGCCAGTTTGAGTTGCTTTAAGATTCCTGTGCCTTGTCACTAGAATTTCTCTTTATTCATGAACCTTCTCACTGACTTTACAGGCAGTTTGATATGAATATATTTGAGTGTCTGTGGTTGGATGCAGTAATTTGACATGTTCTAGAAGTGGTAAGCGGTTGGCGTTAGTAGGTGGCCATAAATAAAAACTAGCGAAATGCAGGATCTAATCCCGCAGTCATTTTTCCCCCTCTGATGCTGTCAATGGGAGATCTGTCTTTGTAACAGGGACTAAGGCATCAGGATTGTACAGAACAGAAATTTTAACTTGTTCACAGCAGATTTTGTAGCACAGATGTCTTCAGTGGCACAGATGTGAATGTTTCCTATTTAGTGAAGGCTTTTTCTTAGCTCTGGAGGCTTTTCAGACTGGCAAACCAAACTCTCCACAGCAGACCCTTCAGGTTTTTCTATTATAATATAATAAGGGTAGTTAATGCTGAGCCTCATGTACTTTTTTCCTCCTTTATTTTACTGACCAAAGAAATTTAATGGGAATCTTGTGCCCCTTTGTTTCTCATGGTTCTCAAAATCTCCCATTTCAGTATTTTAAAACTCCCAAGTAAAAGATTCTAATGGATGAAGGTGTTAGAGATATCTGTGTTAATAACTACTGACTGCTACTCATAACTGGTGATTAAGTAGTAACCAGTTTATTATTATAATCCCTGATAATAAACTGGTTCACTATATCTTTTATGCATCCTTGGGGTAATTTAGGGATAACACAGAAATACTAAACAAAATCAAGAGGAGGAAAAAAGGGAGGAGAACGAAAGAGGTTTTTGACCTGGTTTTTTCCTGGTACAAGGGGGGCTGTTTGGGGACACATGTGAAAGCAGGATTTTAGCTGTGTCGAGGCTTGGAGGACCTGCAACACACAGAGAGGAAGGTCACCCTTGTCTTCTGTCTCCTCTTCTTTGTGATCCTGATCTCAGTGACCACAGAAGAAAGCAAATGTGTTGTTCTAGGAGAGAAGGTCTCCAGAAGTGTCTGACCTAAGCCATGGCTTTCTCTTGGCTTGGACTGCCACGTTCTTGTTCTGGTTTTGTCACTGAGGGCAGGGCTGGCCCAGTACTCCAGTGCTGCTGTTCCCTGCTCAGGTAAAATCTGATGCAGCTGTTAAAGGGCTGTGGTGCTGCATGGGACACGCCAGGCTCTGGGAATCTCTAGGAAAGAGTTCATGTGCTTTTTAGGAATTCCTAGCCTGCTTTCCAGGAATTTGCCTCTCAGCTTTCCAGGCATTTGCATTGTGCTTTCTAGGAAATGCCAGCTTCTGCTTTCTACTTACATTTCCTCATCATTTTCCATTATTTCCCCGTGTTCTTTTGTGGTTTTGTTTTTTTTTTTTTTTTTTTCCCCTTTGCTGCATCATAATAATTCACCCTCAATTTACAGGAATTGCTTATGTGCCTTCTGGAAATTTCCTCTTTCATTTCTAGCAATTTATCTCAGGTTTTCAGTAATTCTCCGTGTCTGCTGGCTATGAATTTAACATCCCATATTTTGTGAATTTTCTTTGTGCTCTCTGAGGAATCTCCCCTCTAGGCAGGTAGCCTCCGCAGATTTTTGCTCTGTGCTCTGTAAGAATTTACTTTGCATGTTCTAGAAAATTTTCCTTGTGCATTCAAGGAATTTCTCTCTGCCTTCTAGAAATTTTCTCTGTGCTGCCTAAATATTTTCTCCTGCAAATTCAAGTAATTTCCCCTATGCTTTCTAAGACATTCTATATGAGTTTTCTAGAAATTTTACACAGGTTTTTGAGGAATAAACCCTTTTCTTTCTAAGAATTTCTCACAGGTTTCCTTGAATTTCACCTTTCAATTTCTGGCAATTACATCCTTTTCATTTAAACTGAGGGTACAAACATACTAATCACAAATGATTATGTATTAATTTATTAACTAGTAGAATCAACTATTTATATGGTTTATATCTCAGGCCTTTTGTGTTGACCCTTTACTTTATGCAATCTGGATTGAGGTCCTGGCCCTGCTTTTTTCTTTTCTAGGTGCTGCTCTTCTGTAAGCAAAATTGTAGGATGAGGCCTCAGTGTGCATTCACAGCTCTTGCAGTACTTGTCTTCCTGTACCAATCATTTGCCATGTAATAATATTTTAGAATGTTAATTGTGATAACTGACGTTATCTTAATTTAACAGATAAGGAAAATTGTAGCAGGAGGGTGGTGTAACTTCTCAGCTCCCAGAGGAGCTTAGAGAAGATTTAATTTCTAGCTCAATTTAGAAGCAGATATGCCAGAGTAGAAGAGAAAAATCAGTAAGGGTTGAACCCCAGCTTTCTGGTTTGCTTTGGTTTTTTTTTAAATCAAGTTCAGGTATTGCAGATGCTAAAAATCATGGAGGAGTTGAAACAAAATAAGATCTAGAATCTTAGTTTCTAATATATTGGCTACATAGCTCCCACCTTCCAACACCAGAAAGTTCAAAGTGGGAGCTCCCCGTTCCCAATTTTTATCCCTGATGGATGCTGTGTCTCTTGGCATGTCCGCCTTGACCAGCAACAGCTACATACAGTTTCTTGGATCCCTCACAGCTTTAACTTTGGTCAAAAGCACCGACAAATACCTGTGGGTTGGAAAAAAAATAACTTCAAATTGCTCTTTGGTCACATTGTCAATTCACATAGGAAAAGAAAGCAGAGTGTATATGTAATAGGGAAATGCCTCTAGATGCTGAAAGCTGCCACATAACAATTCCTCCTCTCTTTCTCTGTTTGTGTCACATGGTATTAAAAAGAGACAGGTATTAATCTGCTCCTCCTGTACAACTTTAAGTTGTCTAAAATTTGCTTTTATCATAGTTACCTCAAGTGGTTAAGGCAGATAATTCACTACTGGAGTGTTTGAGATTTTTATCTATCCATGGGGCAGTCTGCCTCACCATTTGCTCATTCTTTAATTGGTTAATTAAATATGTTATAGCTTCTAGCTTTAGAGATTAATAAAAGCTTGCAAAATAATCTGGTAGGTACACAGAGATGGGGTAGGCTTTGCCTGGTGTCTTGCCCTATGGTTCTGACACCCACAAGGGTCTGAGAAAGACCACATGACTCTCATGACGGGATTAAAACATCATGAATAGAAAATCTTAATCAAAAGCTAATGTAAAATTGGTATTTTTCATTTTTATTTTTAATTTTTTTAATACTGGAAGTAATCTGGATTAAAAGAGCTGTAGGCCCCTCCCTGACTTATTGCTTTGTTGATTTATTTATTTTGAACTCGTACTATTTTCTTGTGCCTAGACAAAAGGTTTACGAAGGTGCTTGTGAAAAAGTTATTTCTCCTTTTTCTTGAATTGCCATATTGATAATTAATTTAAGAAGAAAACCCATATTCTTTATTGATTTATCAACAGAAGACTTCACTCCAGTCAGAATTTTTTAATACAAAAATTTTGTTCATAGGCAAAATGCAAGATAAATTCAGGATTTTAGCCATTTCCTAATGTTTTCAGAACATCTTCAAGAGGACAAAAAGATTTCTACATATCATTAAGCTTATCTCTTTTTTTTTGTTAGTTATCACATTTTTTCCCTGGTACATTTCAGAGAATCAAGAACTGTAATAACTTTATCATATTACAGTTAAAAATTTCTTAGATAGGAGGATAGTAAGAGTATTAATATTGTCAGAGACTTAAATATGGAAATAGGGTATTAATCACGTTTCATGTAAATTGCAAAACGTAGGCTATTGAGTGAGATTAGAAGTTATCTCATGATAAAAGCACTCTATCAGAAAAGAACATTCTCTTAAGTAGTTTTTGTCTCCATGTAAGTATTTTGTACTATTGTTTTCTAGTAAGTCATCTGTCATTCAAATAGAAAAGTCCTAGGTCGGGGAAATGAGGGGCTAGGATGGAACCAAAGGGCTTAAGGATGTTCAAATGACATCTGAGATTATCTCTGAGGTGCATCAGAGGCAATGGAGCAGAGGAGATTTTGCAGGATGCCAGCTGAAAACCTGTTCCTTGTTTTCTGAGGGAATGCAGGCTGTGCGCTCTCAGCTCAAGCCAATGCTCTCCATTTTCTCGCAGCTTGGATCCTTCTTTGAGCTCACTGATGTCCCCCTGTGTCTGCAATGCCAACACCCTCGTGTCTCCAGAGACTGAGGCCCCCTTTGCCAGAGGTGAGCAGTGCTGCTCCTGTCACGGCTTGGGGCAGCAGCTCCTCAGTGTGGGGAGCAGGTACTTGCTGAGGGATGGTCCCAAATTTCAGCACTCTGATCCCTGTCCTGCAGCCAGCTGGAGGCAGTCTCCTGTGCCTCACTTGCAGTAGCCATTTGCAATGGTAGAATGAGTCTCTTATATAGGTGGGCAACTTGATGGTGTTCCAAGAGTTAAAGGCTTGTAAATCCCCCAAAACTTGCAAGGGTTGCTTCTCTGTTGTCTGCTGTGGAGGAGCTGAGCTCTGGCTTTCTTGCCTGGAAATGTTTAGCTAAACTTTCCTCCTTTGGTGCATTTTAACTCCTTCTGAGCCTTTTTGTGGGGCTTCTCTTTTGAGAAAAGTAGACTTTACACAAAGAATCACCTGCAAATCAGCTTTCCAGGGGAATTGCAAGAGTACCCAAATATGCTTGCTTTTGTTATCCCTGTTTTGGCAGCACTGCTGAAGGATGTCCTCACATGATGCCAGTTAGAAGCAAAAGTTCATTTTTATTGGATGCTCCAGATCAACAGCTTCCCAAGTTTATTGAAGTATTTTGAAATCCTCTGAAAATGTGTTGTGTACCATTTGCTTTGAAGGAAGAATCTATTATCGTTTTGTACTGTCTGGTGGGAAAAAAATGTTTGCTTTTTCCATTTCTGAATGCTCCCAGAGATTCTGTAGCTAAAAAAGCTGAAGTATCATTTTTGACTGTGTGTTTTTTGTTTTTGCAGATCTGCTGTCCAAACCAGCATGCTGTGTTATGCCAACCCAGTGCCTTGTCAGTGTGGCAGACAGCTGTAGTTAGAATACAAGGCTTTTGTGTTCCACCCACCCCCTCATCTCTCAGGTTTTATTCCACTTCTTTGAGCAGTGGACACATTCTTGCCAGTCTCAGTGTTTTAATTTAATTTGGGCACAGACTATATAAAATTGAACAGATGTCTGAAAGCAGTGGAGAGAAGACCATAAAATGAAACACGTGCTCAGCTCCATTTGAAACAAGCAATGCTGTATTTTTTTTGTCCCCATTGCCACAAAAGTCACACATGACTTGGAGGTGTGTGACAAGAGGGTCCAACATGGGAAGAGGAGGTAAGGAGACTGGAATTGGACCTAATTTTCTTTCCTATGTATTTTTGAGGTGTGTTTTCAAGACTGGATGTTTCTTCATCTTCTACCAGCACTCATTTCTCTAAAGCAAAGGTTGTATTTCCCAAGAAATTTAAAAAAATATTTAAAAAACCCAGTAAAATCTCTTCCACAAAAATATTTTTCAACTCTTTCCCCTAAAAGATAACTTGACTTTATTTTCAATGGGCATGCAAAGTGCTGGTTTCCAAGAAATTCCTGGAAACACAGGGTGGTAGTTCCATCCAGTAGGCAAGCCAGAAATTCCATAGCACAAAATTTCACTGCCTAAAATAATCTATTAATCAGAAGATAAGTTGAACAAATTAACCTGAAATACTGACATTTAAAAAGTGTTTTATTTTTGAATATATTGAACAGTATTTTTAACCTTAAGGTAATGTAAAAAATAAGATTAATTACATAATTTTTTGAAAAGTTGTCATGATTGTGACATGACAGTGATATTCATATGTGATACCATGCCTTAAGATTGAGCCAATTTTTTGCAGAAGGTTTGTCTGCATAAATGTCTTCAGCAGACAAATTTTCTTACCCCTGTCTAAACTGATGAAGAAATTCATGCTCTAAAGGACTTATTAAACCTAAAAATAGCCTAACAGACATGAGATTAAATTTACAGTCTTTAAAGGTGTTGTGTTTTGAAAATAAAGGTTTTGTTTTAGGAGTCAGACTTTGCACGTGATGGACAATTCTCTGGTTTTCCTCCCTTCCACTTGCACCTTGATGTCTTTCGATTGTGGTACCCTTTAGATGTAGAAAAGTGTGAAAATGGTAATAGCATTATGAAGGTGGTAGGTGAAAAAATTGAGACTGAAGCTGGATTTGAAGTTGATTGTCTTTAATTTCTCAGTAGTTCACTGTCATTGATGTACAGTCTATTTTCTTATCATTCCTGCAGTAGTTAATATTGATGGAGACATATTTATCCTGTATCATAATCTTCTCTTTCATACTGAAGACTTTAAAATTGTTCAGTTGAAGACTTTAAAAGCTTTTGTTGGAGAAGTTTGTTACATGTGCATCTGAAAAGAAAATTGAAAAAAGCACTGAAACTGAAATTTCAGAATTAAATGCATCATCTTGGAAAGCAACATAATTGGTTCCACTATCCAGCAGACTTCTACATTTGCATTTCTTTATATTCATATATATGGTTAAAGTAACTGCCACCTTAACTTAGAATATCTGAATATGCAACCAATTATTTGCCTTTGTGTCTTATGTGGAAAATGTGAATAGGGGGAGGATATGTGAAGTCTCAGCAAGGAAAGGGAAGATGTGTAACCATAGATGTTGGTCACTACTGCAAAAGCAGTGTCAAATTATATTGGATATTCAGCCCTAGCAATTGAAAATGTCATATCTCTCTAGATGTGTTACTGGCATCTAAACACCATCCACTTTTAGATCTCCCAGAAGTTTTATGAAAATGCATGAGAAAGTTTCCTTAAATGGCACTCTTGTCAAAGGAAATATGCCTGGGAGGCAGTGGGGTTTTTTCAGTATTGCATTCAGGAACAGCCACTTCATTAAGGACAGTTTTTAATATGTACATTCTCAGTTATGGGCAGTTTTTGCAATTCCCAAGCCAGAGGCATCATGGAAGGTGACTTTTTTTTTTTTTTTTTTTGTTTTTGTTTTATTTACCAATTGCATTTACACAGTGACTACCTACTCTGTCTAGTTTCCTAGAGAACACCTGTGGAATTTCTGGAAATCAGGAAGGAAATGCATGGAAAGCAGCTGGGAAACTGGGAAGACACTGGGAAATTTTCTAGGAAGAACTTAGTAAATTCCTGAAAGTTGGGACAGAATTCCTAGAAAACAGAGGGAGATTTTCAAAAAAAAAAAACACATGGGGGAAGTTACCTGCAGAGAAAGGGGAAATTTCCTGAAAAACCAAGTGATACAGCCTAGAAAGTGAAAGGTAGAAAAAGGAGGAGAGCAGCCAAAGTGAATACTTTCAACAACACACTTAAGATTTCTAGGAAGCTGGCTGTGGATTCCCCAAAAGCACACAAGGAAGTCTTATAAAGCAAAGGGGGAATTCCCAAAAATCTTGTGCAAAGTTATGGGCATGAGAAAAATTGTGGCAAGTGTGGAATACGTGGAAAATTTCCCAGAAAGCTGGAGATATTCCTTGAAGGCAGTGGAATGATCTCCTGCAAAGAATGAGGTAAATTCCTACGGTTTGGGGTGTGGATGGGCACTCCTAGAAAGCAGAAGGGGAATTTTCCAGCAATCATGTGGGAATTTGATGGAAAACAGAGAGGAATTCCAGGCAATGACAGGTGGCAGCTCATGATACTTTTCAAAGTGAAGCAGAAAACTTGTACCAAACTCTGCAAGCTGCTGATCCCAAGCCTTACAGCAAATATGCATGAAGGCTAAAACATATTGAGTAAAAAATACTGCAAATATTTTTGTTGGAAAAATCAGATTTCCTCTCTGATAGTGAAAACGTTTTTTGAACATATGATTGCAGAGTTCAGATTAGTTTATATTAATGGACAATCAATATAGTAAGTTTTTTAATAGTAATTTTTATGATTGTCTGTTTTTTGATGGAATTCATCCATTTGGAAGGAAACTAGAAGGTGGCAGCCTTGGGGTGATAACTGAAGTGAAACACAAGACTATCAAGAAATAAGCCATTAAAAAACTTCAGGAAAAGAGTAAGTAGATATGCGATATTCTTTAAATTATTCCTAGCTTTCTTACCATCTGATGATTCTCCTCTTTCAATATCTGTTTGAGCACCAGGTCATATTTGATACAGAATTTATCTTTTCAGTTAGGGAGATGTTTATTTTGATTTTTCAGGTAGTTCTTTGTGTCTCATTCATTGCCCCTGTGGCAGAAACCTAAAGTAGCATAAGTTTTGAAAACATTCAAACTCTTCTGTCAATCTGTGTAATTCAAGGCTCTTATTCTTTCAAGAAAGAATACTTGAGAATATATTTGCATATTAGATTGCAAAGTAACCAAATATCTTCAAAGGATATAAGCAATTGTTTCTTAGGTATTTATTTGAGTTTTTATCAATAAAGTAAGGTAAAAATAAGGAACAAAAAAAGTGTTTCATTCATAAATCAGTATGAATACCACAGTGAAAATTTTTTGCCTGAAGTTTTGTGGCTGACCTGACAGGTAAGATTTCAGGATTTTACAATGGCAGCAGGTATTATAAATACTGCAGTAGGATGTGTAAAACAATATTTGCTGTTAGCTGTGTGTGTAGAATTTTTTTCTTGGGATATTGAATTGTTTGGAAGTCTTATTTGATTGAAGTATTACAGTTTTAATTCCTAGTAGCTGAAAATTTACATTTTACTTTGTTTACTTTGTTTCAAGGGTTGGTAATCAGGCTTTCTGAAAGCCATTTTTAAAGCATTAAATGGAAGAGGCTTTAAGCTAAATCCATACTTAGCCCTTGATTTAAAATCACTGTATTTTTGTGCATTTTAAAAATGCATATATTTTGAAAGCCTGAGGCTTTGTTGTAGTGAACACAATACTGACAATATTTGTGGCTGGTCAATTGTCCTTTGCCCTCTGTCCATAAAACACTAAGTGCATTGGGGTTCTAGGTCATCACTACAGCTGCAGCATTGCAATTAATTATATATTGTTATTACATTAGAAGAAACTAAGCTCAGAGAGAACAAAATCATTACATTCTCCCTTTTATCAATATTAGCAGACATAGCTTGTAATGGAGCTGTGTGAGGATGGAGAACTTAAAAAAATGCTTTGTGGTAAAGGGCATTTTGCAGAAAATGAGACAGGACACATCATTCAAAGCCTTGCTTCAGCAATAACATTTCTGCACAAAAACTATAATTACATTGCTCTGTTTCTCCCATATGTTCATTGATTTTGAGTGTTCATACATTTAAAAACAGTTACTGATTGATATTTTATCTATTATTTATTTCATAGGATTAAAATAATCCAGTAAAGAAGAAGTAAAATATACTACATGAATGCATTTTTAGAACTTTATTTTTCTTACAGATGCAATATGTGCTGCCATTTTCTTTTACTTCTCTTTCTGCACCAGCTGTGGTAATAACTGTGTTATTATTTCTTAGCTTGCAACTGCTTTGCATTTTAACTTTTACTTAGTTCAGTTGTTATATGCACAATATATTACAGGAGGTAAAAAAGCAGAAGTGGATTGCTCCTGATACCTCCTCACAGCATTTGTTACATTTAAGGTTCAGTGAACATCAGAATTTTCATCCACCACACAGAACCACTGCAATTCTGCACAGTCCACAACAGAATTAACCTATCCAGTCAAAACTTCAGATTTTGTAGATGGTGAAGGGCTTGGAATTCTTGAGGTTTTTCATTTATTTTTCTTCTTTTTGCAAAGAAATGATTAAACTCTTTGTTATAATGTAGTGTTTTTAGGAACCCTTCTTTTACGTCTTTTTCCAGAGATTTATATGGCATTATGGAATGATGCCTTTTATAAGGCCTTGTTTCTTCTGGGCCCTCATCAAAACAGCAAAAACCCTTGACTGGTTTGGTATGTAGAAATGAATTTCAGGTATGAAAATATGGGCAAATTTGGTAAATACACAAGATAGACTCTAATTTTTGTTAGATGATCTGATTTTAAAAGACCAAACCATTATGTACTTTTGCCTTTCTTACAGAATTGTGGTGAGGAATGATATTTCAAAATTTGAAATTCTTATATGACTTCCTGGAAGAAGTGAGGAAGATGGTTTTTGTTAGCCTGCTACTAGTTTAGAATAAAATGCATGGGAATTGCTCATAGGAATTAATCAAAAGATTTTAAAATGTTTCTGTCAGAATATGTTCACTGTAATTGATAGTATTTTATTTCTTACTCTCTCTTGGCAGGTATTTTTTGCAGAGATCTAAAAGTGGAAAACATTTTTGTTAAAAGCAGTGACATCAATGAAGTAAATGAAGTGGAATTAAACATAAAGGTAAGATGAAAATTGTAGCAGTTCAGCTTCAAGAACCATTTTTAATATCCAGGTATTACTGGGAGACCTGACTTTGATACCTATTAGTAAGTTTTGAAATGAGTTACTAAATGGTGTTATTATGGAAAAAATCATTTGGAAGCTAAGAGCCACTGAAAAGAGTTGAAAAGAGTATTTTTTAAATGGTAAGCACACTTCTTGGTCAATTAAAAAAAAATCCTTTAAGTAATCATACCTTGTTCATGCAGATCTACATTTGCATAGTCCCAAGCCATTAGTTACAGGAAGCCAGCAGATGCTGTGAGATGCAATTAATATTTAAATTAGGAATGTTTTCAATTTAGAGTAAATCTGTTAGTAATACAGAAAAAAAAACCTATTTAGACCATGTCTTGACTGAAATACAAGTATATTATGGGATTCTTTTGATATTAATAAATATTTGCTACCTAAACACAATGTTCCATATGCTTACATATTCTTTTGTATTGAAGAAAATAGTCTTTGATGTTTTATAGGTCATGTGTTAATTGTGCATCACTAATTTCCTATTTTAGTAGTAGTTACTGTTGAAATGTAGTTATCATCTTGTACAACTGAATTGTTGGATCAGGAATTTACTGTCTGGGATAGAAGACTCCAGGATGAGAAGCATTTTAGACACTGAAGTGGACAACTCAGTAATTTATAATGGATAAATACAGACTGCAAAACTGTTTTTTGTTTCTTAGATCTGTGTGTTTTTATATAATCTCATGGTCATTTTAAGAAACATCCTTGTGTATTTCTCTGTACCCTTCAGTTTGGGGCAGTGTGTGCCTTTCTTTCTGAAAGAAGGTAGGTAAGGCATTGATAAATTTCTGTCTTTTCCATGTGTTTTCCATCCTTTCAGTCAACTCACCTCTTCCATCAATAGAAACCACCATGGCCAGCTGTTCTTTTTCATGGCCTTGCTTTATGTACCCATTTGGAACAGCAACTAGCACACTCTGTCATCTCTCCTGCAAGGTGCAAGTACTTTTTCTATGTTCCATCCTGTGAATGAGGTCAGATCTTTCCTCACTTTGCTTGTTCCTCTCATTTTAGAGTAGAATAACTCCTGAGTGACTTTAATGGGAGAAGTGGAAAACACAGAACCAAGTCCCAAAGCTGGTAGGGCCAGCAGCAATTAAAGTTACTACAGGAAAGGAAAGGTCCACACATAATGTGAGATTAAATATAGCCAGCTAAAACCAACATTTAAGTACTTTAGACTTTCAGGCTTGAGGCAGCTAATGTTACATGTCAGGCTAAGGTTCACACCCTCCTGTTTTTGGCTGTGAGAGTCTTCCTGGATTTTTATGATTTTCTGGTTTTGGGCAGGATATGCCGACAGAAAGATGGGACAAATCCAGACGTGGCTTGCTCCTGTGAAAGAGGTTCTTCCATATGGCCCACAAGTACCTGGCACAGGTGCATATGGCATGGGGCTGAGATTAAATTTTGTTAATATGTATAGAAATACCTTCTTTTTCCAGCCACCTCTCAGTTTCAGGACATTCCTTCCTGAACTCACAGATATCTTCAGATATATGTATGTATTGTCTCACAGACTTTGATATGAAAAGTATAACATATAAAAGTATGCTGAAGAATTTGACTTCTCCATGTATTACACTTGAATAAGGCTTTACAAACAGGATAAAACCCTATCTTATTTTTAAAAAAATAGCATTTTTTCTCACCTTTTGAAATATCCTCTTCATGGACAGTTGATGAGTAGTACCTTTTTGGCTAAGATTTCTTATAACTCTGTATCACTCTGGTGGTAACCTCTCTCTGGTGACATAGAGCTAATTTGTGACTTCTGATGTGATGAAGAAAAATATAAGAATCTCCAGCTAAACAGTGGGAATAAATAATAACCAATTTTTTTGGACAATTTCCATCCCAAAAATGTGACTACCGCAGAGTATGGGACTGATTAATATTTGATGGTGAAATGAAAGTTGAAAAATCCCCAACACCACAAAAGCAGGTAATGATGATGTAGCCTGCCCAATTTACACGCCTTTCAGGGCTTTTCCCTTGTCTGTTTAGGCAATGAAAACTTTGCAGACCATAACATAAAGATTTGTAACCTTTTCTGATTTATACTGCATGCTATAACATACTTCACTCCTTATTCAACATAGCATTCATTTTTAAAATTTTGTGGAGTCGTTTCCTCAACAGTTTATACCAGCAAATTTCACAGCTCGCTCATTACAAATGGAAGCAAAGAAGAAATCCTTTTTTGGGGAAGATAATTAGTACTTCCAACATTCTGATTTATTAAATACTAGTAGCATTATATATTCTTTAAGTGAGGGGGCTGTACAGGATAGTTTCCAATTTACCAATCATGACGGAAACATAGAGTCTCATCAGTGCAAGGGGCCTTGAGTTGTTTGATTTATTTCTCTGTCCAAAGGAAGAAGCAGCTGTACCGAGGTAATTTCTGATGAATATTTGTGCAAAGTGTACTTAAAGACCTCCAGTAATGGAGACTCCATAATCTTCCCAGGCACTCTATTTTGATGCTTCATTATCCTCCTAGAAATTTTTCCTGCTGTCTGCCCTGAACCTTCAATTTGACAATCAGCTTAAACTTCTACCTGCAGGGCATGATCTAATCACTTTTTTCATTATAAAGTTTCAGTTAACTCACCTGCAGCCACGTAATTGCTCTTGCTGACCTAAGGGAGGTGGTGGAATCCTGTGCATGGGAAAAGGAAAAGGGTGCAACTGCAATTCACATTTTCAGACTATTGTTTCCTCCCCCATCCAGCACAGATATCAAGAACAGGTAGGCATCCTCCTATTGCCAGCAATCTGTTATTTCACTTCTCTCTCAGTCTCTTGTTCCTTAAAGAGGACAGACAACTGCAAAACATGCCTTGACACAGCCTCCCACTTTGACAACAAACAAGTTACACTTGTTTTCTGAGAAGCATTTTTTTAAGGACCTGTGCAATGCTCCTGTGATATTTTCATGTATTACATTATTACATTAAACACAATAATTTGGATTGCAAAATAATTTAAGGGAAACAGTATCAAAATCCTTACTAAAATAGAAATGTGTGACATTTTATGTTCCTCTTGTAACCCCAAAGCCTGTCAGCCTGTGCTCATGGAGATTTGCCCCTGACAGGTTCATAATATCTGTTACTCACCTCTTTGTTCTCTTCTAAGTGCCTTTTAATTCCAGTATTTTCCTGGGAGTTAATGGAATACTTCTATAATTCTTTGATGCCAGCTTTTTTACTCACTTACAGATAGATACCTGAAAATACAGTTTTCAAGTATTTTATCTGCCTTCCACTAATGGTTCTTGGAGAGCTAATAGCTCTGAAAAGTCTTGTCACTTTTAAAGTACTCCAGGATGAATTTTATCGGTTATGGCTGATTTTAAAATTTCCAACTCAAGTACATGCTAACCTTTCTCTGCTCTGTAAAAGACTGAGGTCTTGCCCCTTTGTCATTGATATTGATTGGACTATCCACTGCTTGCACTTGACATTTTGGTTAAAATTGATGCAAGAAGACATTAAATACATTTGCCTTCTAAGCATCATCAATCAGTTCTTGGTTGAATACAGCACCAATGTCTTTATTCACTGTCTTCCCACCCCTCATACTCTTGTAGATGATTTCATTTTGAGTTACATCCCTTGCCTAGCTGCTTCTCATTTTTTCTTTCTGATTTTGCCCCTCTATGCTTATGTTTTCCTTTTGGTCTTATTTGCATTTTTTGTATCATCCCTTTTTCTGTGTAAGACTCACAGAAATTCAAAATTTAATCAGATTGGTTTAGTAGTAAAGAAAAGGTTATTATTTCTGTTTGTGGTTGTTTTGCTTTTGTTGCATACATCTGAGTTCTTTTCTAACCTAAAATTTTGTACATGGACGTGTGGATACAGACACAGTTTCACAACCTCCTCCTTTCTGGATTTTCTTAGACTGATTTTTCTATTCACTTTATTTTCAGGAAATTACTAATTTCCTGAGTTGGTAGTTTTATTTTGTGTAGGATATATATTAAGGATGTAAATGTACATAAACTTTAAGTTTTCCCAGTATGTTAGTGGCATGAATTACTGATAGTTTAAAAAGTTATCGAAATGATTGATTAAAAATTAGTCCCTACAGCAGGTTTGGCAATATTATTGGTTAGAATTTCCTGTAAAATCATATTTACCATTTGTGGTATTATCAAACTATTAAGTTAACAATTTCAAGGTCCTTGTCATAATAAATAGATATTTGAAGCTTGGTGACATAAGACATAAAAAAAATCTGAGATCACAGTTCAACAGGCTTTCTTGATTTGGTGGGACAACACCAAGAAAAATATTCACTGTCGATCTCCCCTTCCATTGTGTGAAGGTTCTTATATTTTCTTCCTTACTGGGACCAAGTATCACTTCTTTTGATTCTGGAATTAAAACCCATACATCTTGCTGTGAACTCAACCCATGATGCAGCAGATAAAATCTCACTGAGATGGCCCCAAACCAGGGGGCCATGTCTTACTGACATGGACTGAAATCATATAAAGTGAGTAGTGAATGGGTTCTAATTTGTGAATTTTAATCTAGGACTGAAGTAGAAGGTTTGAAAATTTTTATTTGAGAGTATTTTGGCACAGATTTTGTTAATCATCTGATATGATCAAGAAAACAGAGACTTCATGTTTTGCAAAAACCCTGTGTTCTTATCTGCTGCCCTTATGTCTGGTAGAAAACCAAGTTCATGAGATGTCTTGCAGTACTTTAAGTCAGTGTGTTCCGAATGCTGCTTTAATAACTTACTGTGGAGAAGAAGAGTACTAAGTTTAATCACACTGCTAATGTCACAATGTCACCACCCCCTTAACAGCTAAATGATAAAAGTGAGGACACATCAGCATGAATTGTTAAGGCCTGTACATTATTCATTTAAACACCTGCTGTTGGTTCCTCTTTACATATGGGAATAAATTATACCACATCAGCACATTCTTCATGCTTTGTGTTTAAGCATTTAAAAGTTTTTTTTTTCTATTATTAATACTACTTTTTCTGCTTGGTTGGCAGCCCATGAAGTTATCAGTGCCTGTGACTACAGCCAACAGTGTGACATTTGGAGCACAGGTGTCATTATGTACATGCTGTAAGTAGCTTGTAAAAGTAATATAAAATGTACAGACCCATTTATAATACAAGTACTTACAATTTTGCACTGAAATAAAAAATAAGCCTGTGTGCTAAATCTTCAAAAAGAGTGAACTTTTATAATTGCTTGTATGTAAGCAATAAAAATTTCTATGCGAAATGAGGTAAAAGATAGAGTTCAGTATTAAAAACTGAGCATTTGATTTATGGACCACTAAATAGTCTGGAAATAACAGAATATTGCAGTGAAACACCATATAATCAAACTGAGAGTTTAGGCCTCTCTTTTTCATTGTTGTGTAGCTCTATAAATGAGGACTGAGTAGTTGATTTACAGATTACTGGTAAAATTCTGACGTGGATTGCACAAAATGTGCAATTAGGGTAAAGGCTTTTCTTGTCCACCTCTGACTGTGGTAACTCTGGAACTGAGATGTTCCAGGGCTGCCAGGTCTCCTGTACAGGTAAACTGTGTGTCTTGGAAGTTTATTAGTTTGCTGGTGTAAGAGGAAGCAATGAAGCTTTACATTTGTAAGACTACATGGATATTTATATTGAAATCTTTCATAATTTAGAACATTTCTTTTGGCTACAAAGTAATTATTCCTCTCTGAAAAATCTTAACCCACCTATACTAGCTAAAAAATATGAAAAGCTGCTCCACTAATTGAAAATGAATTCTTGTAAAGGATGTACATTACTGTGCATATGATGCAACCAAAATGTCACATTTTTTTCAGGGATGTTTTCCTGTCATAGTGCATTTGCATGCTTTTCCTCTCCACTTTGTGTTTTTCTTCTTTTAGTTGCCACCAATAATGCTTTGATGCCAATGTTTTAGAACACCAAAACCATGATTACATTGGTTATTATTTCTGTTCTGTGATTTGCTACTGTTGCATACATCTGGGTTCTTTTACAACCTAGAACTTTGTACATGGATATGTGGATACAGACACAGTTTCACCCCCTCCTCTTTTCTGGATTTTCTTAGTTTGATTTTTCTTTTCACTTTATTTTGGTACCTCAGCTTCTTTTCTGTACAATTAGCTCACTTTTCTTCTTGTGACAGTGCAATGAACTGCTCATAGCTTTATTACCTTTATTTTTATTCTTTTTTTTGTTTCTAAAATCCATGTGCAGAATTTATGCTGATACAGATTGAGTGTTATTGTACTTAATGATATTAATGTCTGCATCATAGCACTAGGATTTGTAAAACATAGTAGAGTATATTACAAAATGTTTGGTAGAACTGGGGTGATTTGACTGGCTAATAAGAATCCAGAGTTGTGCCTGCAATCAGCACAATACACAGCTCAGAACTTGTAAAATTCAGAGCAGTGAACTGTGTTGATTGCAGCTGGAGCTTAGAACTTCTGACCTTCTTCCTTAATTAGCAATATAAATATTTCTTAAAATTAGCATTTTTTAATCACAACAGTGTCAGAATAAAGTAGCATTAATTCACCCCTTGTTGTGTTGACTACCCAAGAATGAAAACACCGTGTATAAATTAATAGAATGCAATTCAAACTCCTTTTTATTGCTTAATTTGAAAACAGTAATACAAGAGCCATAAGATCATCTTCTGATTTTAATTCTGCCTTTGCAAATTGCTTTTCTTCCCACCCTGAATAATGACTCATGCTCCTAGTGCTCCTCTAATGGGCTTAAGGATACTGTTAGTGGCACTATTGCCACCAGTGCCACTTTGACCCTTCCTGGCTCCAGCCAATGCTTCCCTGCTAAATCCCTGGCTGCCCTGGCTCCCTTGTCCATGCAGATGGCATATTCCATCTTGGTGCCAGGGCTGTTATTGCCACCACAGGCTGGGTCTGCACCTAGATGGGGACACAAGCCCCGGGGTGAGTCTAGCACTCTGTTAATGCAGAGTTTTCTCTGCACAGTGGGGTAAGGCCAGCCTGGTGGGTTTTTATGTGCAATCTTAGGTGTACTCTACGCTTCCCATTTAATTTCTATCTTAACACATACTCATAGAAGCATCCACAATAGTAACCAGCTAAAAGAAAATCCATTAAAATACAAAAGTGTGCCAGCACATTGAAGGATTAGAGCAGCAAGAGTCCTGCTGTCTGTCACGCTGCCAGAGTGTGGCCTGTGTGCTGCTGTCTAATAGGAAAGGGTCAGGGGATTCTTTTTCCTGGGCAATCTGCACTATTGGATTTCTTCCTCATTCTTCCAGGTGTGCTCTGGCCCCCACAGTAGTTCTCAAAAACCTTTGTGCAGCTGAAGAAACCTGGATGCCTAATAAATTATTTCCCGCATTACAGCAATAAGAAACCTATTAAGAAAGTGTGGTAATTCTTCCTCCTTTCTAAAGGCACAGAAAATTTCTTCACAGATTTTCGAGGTGCCATGTGATATGTTTCACCTACTTAACTTGATTTCTTCAGCTGAAGTTATCTGTTGTCTGTCACTGCCATAGTCTGGAGAGAATTTAGCCCTATCTGTGCATAGCAGAATAATGGGCATTGTCACCAGCCAATACTTAGGGTACCATGTCCTGAAATGAATGCATTCTGCCCCTTTTCTGTTCCTTAAATTGAGTTCCATGTGGATTTAAGTCCTGAGGGAGATTGGGAAGGAGAACTGCAGGATAAAAGAAAACCTCAACTTTTGTCAAAGATATTTTGAGATTAAAAGTTTTGGGGAAAATGCACCAAAATATTAATTTTATGTTTTACCTTAAAAATTAAAACCATGTGAATGAAACAACACAATGTTTTTCTTTGATATTAAGTGACAGGCATCCTTCGCCAGGATGTGACAACTACATTTTTCAGTACTGACTTCTGCATTTTGGGAGTAGAACTAAAAAAATTATTTGTTGCAAATAATTAATTTGATGAAATTAGCTTATTTTTTTGTTTGCTTTAAATGGTCACAAAAAGGAGTATTAGTTTCTCAAAAGTATTTGCTAAATAATTCTTGCAAGTCAGTTGTGCATGGATAGTATGATGTAAAATCTATCAGGAGTTTAATCTTTGTTAGTTTTGATTGAAAACACAGACCACATGATATGGTTTTCCATTCCATGTGATTATTAAAACACAGATCAATACTTACTTTCAAAGTATATTCTCTAATAATCATTTAAAGTTGATCTTTCTGGTTAACACTCGTGCTGGTACATAGTCACAGAAACCCAATAGCAAGTGTCTGATATTGAAACTTCTTTTTTTATAGGAATACATTTGTTCTTAGTTTAATACATGTTTTCTTTTTTCTTATTTAATTGTTTCCACATCGTTAAGAATACAGTCAGTGTAAAGGAAGCAGATAACACAGAAAGATTAAATTGAAGATGCAGATACCGCATTTATTCAAATATTTTAACTCAAAATAACAGAAAATAGACACAAGACAAAAATGCAGCTTAGGTATATTTTTATGAACACGTGTACTCTTAATATAGACACTTATGGTAGGTTTTCACATTTTTCTGACATGTCATTTTATTACCATATTTCTACTGATAAATAACATGAGGCCGAACAAGTCAACAGTCACACTACATAGGTAAAGTAGATACATCTAAATAGCAGAACAAAGAGTGAAGAATTGAAAATTATGCTTTGTTTCTCCCAGTATTTCTGCTTTATTTTTTTGTTCTGAAAAATATGTCTTTTGGAACAGTAAAATTATATTCTAGACTTCTGTAATTTTTCTATGAAACAGAGTTGCTTTAATTTACTCTCACTCTATGAAGAATAGCATCCTAGACTGAGAATTGAACACATTTCATAGATTTTAAGTATTTAGAGCTGAATTCTCAACATCAGTACAGTTGACTTTAGGGATACAAGTGCCTACTATATATGACTAATTTGACTTATATAAAAAAATCTACAGAATAAAAGCCTACAGAATAGATGTATCTAGTAACTCTTGTAATGCATCCATGATTTGTTTGAGCTAAACACTGTTATTAGAAAGACAGCTCACTGGGACTCCAGTGCCCAAAATGAGAGTGGTCTGTTTTGTCTTGTGGCCGTTGTTTCAGTTCTTGTGACTGTTATTAACCCACTAGCCTAAAAACATTGGCCCATGAATTACTGATGGTTCTTATCACTGCAATGTAGTGGTTGTTAATACAGAATTGTTGAATTGTTTGATGGAAGATATTACTTGGACATGGAATAGAAAGAAATTATAAGTACCCAGTGTGTGCAGTAAACTTTATTTCTGAGATATAAACACTGCACACAATGGCAGCAGGTTAGCCAAGGGATTTGGGTGGGTGAATTAGGGAGCAAAATACTCTGTGAGTTCAGTTTAATATTTCCTAGCTGGTACTTCAGTTGTTTCTTAGTAAACCTTTGGCTACTGCTTAAAAAATCCATACAAGAGCAATTACCTTTTATCTCTGTGGATACCTAGTTACAAAGATTAAATCACCTCTTAACCTCATAACCTTTTTCCTTTAAATCTCTCTGAGAGACACGTTTTTAGAACTTGAGTCACTTTTGTAGAGTTCTCTGAAGTTTTCCCAGCCCTGCCAACTTTTTGATTTCAGAGTGATCCCATAATACACAGTTTTTTGTGAAAAATAGTAGGTATTCATTCACTGACCCTAATTTTCTTGTACCTTTTATAGAAGGCTTGGAAGAAAAGCTTTTAAAATAATAAGAAGGGAAGACCTCTGCTTTGAAAAATTTGGTCTGGGAAATAGTTACCAAGACTGGTAAGTACACAATGCTCTCACAGAATAAGTGTTGACTACATTGCAATGAATTCCACAATTACAGTAGCTGTGATATTTTTCTTAGCTTTTAAGTAGTACATGTTTTCTGAAAAGCAAAATTGATGTTTAAAATAAATGGACATAAATGATATTGTGAACGAATTTCATAGCACTGTAAGAAGAAAGGTCTCTGCTGTATTAAAGCACTCAGTTGAAAATGTGTCTTGTTTGTAGAAATGAGAGGTTTAAAGTTGTGGTTTTCATTCTTAGAAGAATGAGTTTTGAAACTACTTCTGAAAGTTGATGCTGTTCATGAAATCACAGCAAATGAATTGCTTGAAAACCAGTGGATAGCTGAATTTTGAAGAGATGCAATTTCTTTCCCTTGTATTGTACCTCTCACTTTTATGGTATGTAAAGTTGCTGTATTGCCTCAGTGGAATCCAGTAAGTTGGAAAATTTAAAAAAAAACTGTCTAAGCATCATAACACTTGTTAGGGGTCTGATCCAAAGCTCCCAAATCCATTTGCATGTTTTGCTTGTATCCCTTGAGCTTCTGATAAACCTGTTAACTAAGGGAATCTTTACACTGTATTCCTTGCCCAAACCAACTTTACCTGGTTTCCCATAGGTTTTGACATAATATGGAAATGGATCTCATAGGTTTTGACATAATATGGATCAAGTTTGATTAATTCAATGATAAAACTTTTTCTTTTCTTTTTTGATTAAAATAAAAAAAAAGAACTTTGAGCTACAGGGCCATTCTGAAGGCAAGTGAAATGTAGTGATGGAAGGGAAGCTGGGAGCTCCCAGCTTGCTGGCTGGGCTGCAGATCTTGTCATTGTGAGAATACTGAACTTTCAGCTGTCTCATGAACACTTGTGCTATTTTGCAGTTGAAATTAAAGGAGAGGAAATGGACATAGCTGCTACTTAAAGATAACCCATGATAGCAAACCCTAATTTTTTCCCTAGCTGGATTCTGTACCATTTAGCAACAGAAATGTCTGTGAATCACTGCAAAGTATTCTGCTATGTGGGAGGATAAATAGGTATCTATTCAAGATGGAGCACTGGTTTTGCTTCACACCTTCCTCTACAAAAGAGCCATTCTGGACTAGCCTTCTTCAGCTTTCTTCCTTCCTGCTAATTGAGTAGAGCTGAACAGGAAGCTTTTTTTCCCAAGATTTCATTGCATTCTTGTGTATGGGAGAATAGCCAAAACCAAATGTGTAACTCTACAATGGGCTGGAAAATTAGGCAATTTTCATCCAGCTGTGCCCTGCCTTACTACGAGTACCACACTGTCTTTGCTTCATGAAAATGAAGATATGGAAAACTGCCACCCATGTGATTTCATGACTTCTCACTATGTATGTTCATGGAGCTTGAGAATAATTTCCATATGAACATCATTGCATGTAACAAGACTTTCTTATAGTTCATAGTAAACCATTCCTTCTCTCCATACTACACATTTCAGACACAGTAGATTTTAATTTGCAATAATTTTCTTCTTTTATGAGGTAGGTAGTAGACTGGCTATCTTATCTACCTACAAATACCTACAAATGCAACCCTGTATTGTTTGGTTTCCATTTGCACTGAAATTTGTTTGGTTGGTTTCTATTTACGCTTCCATAGTAAATGTGCAACAACTTTAAGCATTGGTTTCAAAGCAGAACTATATTTTAGATTTTTTTCATCAGGTTTGAATGGTTTCTAAATGTTGAGATGTGGTCATCATAGGCTGATGACAGAATTCCTCATGTCAGGGAATGTACTCTGAGGCCTACAGACATCCTTGGGCCAGAAACCATCAGAAATGAACTCTGGAAATACACTGAAGCCATTTGTACCTCCAGCTGATCTACTTCTAACAGTTTTAACTGCTTCCTTAAGGGAAAATTTTCTGGATGAAACAGTGCTTCAGACAGTGATTTTGGCTTCGTGCTTCGGCCTTTCCTGTAGGTGATCACCCAGTGTTGTCTATTACTCAACCCTCTGTGCCTCACACCAGGCATCAAAAAGGACTTTGATGGTTTAACCCCAGCTGGCACCTAAGCACCACACACCCAACTCACTCCTACAAAATTTACTCCTCAGCTTCAGTAGGCAGGTGGTGAAGGAGAGTCTTCTGCTCCATTCCTTCTACGTTCCATCTGCATGTTCCATCCAAAGCCCCCAGCTACTTTACTGACATTCTGGTTTTCACATATGTTACATATTGCAGCCCTGAATGTTTTTCTGTTTCTAGTGAAAACTAGGCTTTTAGAGGAGCATAAAAATAAGAAATGGGGACTTCAAGTGACACTTAAGTGAAAAGTCTCACTATGCCAAATTGTTAAAGAAATGCTCCTGAAATCATTCTATAAGGACCTTGGTTTCAGAGCTACGGAACACCTGTGGCTCCCTCCTTACTTCAGCAGGAGTTGCAGACACTCAGGACCATTGAAAACCAGGACACCAATTTCTGCTTCAAGCTTGTGCCTTCACAGCCTCTGTGACTTTACAATAGCCAGATGGGGAACATGAAAGTGCATTATCATGTAGAGAATTCTGTGTGTAAAAAAAATTAACCCCTTGGAGCCATGTGACACATGAGCTTCTGCACAGGAGAAAAATGCATTTGGCACCACAGTCTCCCACCAGGAAATCCCTACCATCTGTACCAAAAATTTATGAAGTCACAAGTCATTCTCTATGATTAAAACTGGCATTTCAAACACAGGTGCAGCAATTTTATATTCCAGAACAATACTTTAACAATAAAAATTTTAATTTAAAAGTTGCCATGTTCTTGCAGCTAAACAAATCACCTCAAGCTCAATTCAAGTTAGTGGATACCTCTGGAGGTTTATGTGTTGTCAGTTTGAGACCATATAGAGTTTTGGCCGGGGGCTATGCAAAGGGTTGATGATTAATTATTTACCAGAAATAGTAATTAATGCAGTCCTGCTACTAGTTTTGATCATTCTGATCTCTGTACCAGTTAAAACTTTTCCAGACACGTTTAACTTACATCTGCTGAAAAGTAAGAGCCAAATAGATGACAGGATAGCAGAATATTTTTAAGTTTCTAAGAAACACGAAGACTGTGTTACCACTAAATGGAATTTCTGCATTGTCTGCACAGAGCATTATATATACAACGAGTATAATATTAGTGACACATAGAGTAAATCTAATTTTGCAATAAATATCTTTATGGATACATATGCTTTGGTTTGATACTAGAATTTCCAATTATTTTAAGCTACATTCAAAAAATAATCTCGATTCCATTTCCTACCTATATATTGTATGGATTGTGATGTATTTTAACTATGATATTCTACCTCATTTTGTTCACTTCTCGCCCTGAGAATTTGACATTTTCGTAGCTGTGGTTTAATGGAAGATGCTGTTTCCTTTCAGATAGTGGGGTGGTTTAGGTTTTTTTCTTCTCCTGTGTTGATTTTATTTCTATCAAAAGAACTTCTGAGCATATTGATTGTGAGTTCTGATTTAGAATTCTGTATTATTGCTGTGATTTTGGGTGAAATTTACAGGTATGTGAGTATGCTTGACTGAAGAGGAAAATCAAGACCCTAAAATATAAAACTTATGTGTACACCATGTGAGATTTCTTGTTTCTTTTCAGATTGATTTTTACAAGGAAACCAAATGCCTAAAGCTCAGATCTTCTTGTGTCTAAATTGCAACTCCAGTTCAGCAAAATGCCTGTGTATCTGTTCTGCAAATTATTTAAACACATTTCCAAAAGTGTGTGAGGACTTGAAAAATTTGACTCGATGAAGTACTGAGATCCCTAAGGATGCCTGACAATTCTGAGAAGAAATCTGCTTAGAGCTCTCACATCCCCATCTTAAAGTTTCTCAGCTCTCTGGATTTGGATCTTTTTGTGCACTTGCATCTCTGTACCCTGACAGTTCTGGGCAGTTTGGAGCAGAATCAATTTATTGTTTTTATTTCCATGGTTACATTGGGCTTGCTTTTAGACACTAAGACTTCTCTATGCATTAAGACTTTTCTCTGTCTCTCTTGTCTTTCTGATAGTATCAGTGGGATTTTTATTATTTTCAGGCATATTTTCTTCCATTTACTGAGTATCATAACTGATTTGCAGGTTCTTCTGTTTACCTCTACAGCATTTTAGTCAGTGGAATGATTAATGTATTCTTAAAGTACAATTATCATAAATCAAGAATTTCCCAGTTCTGTTTCTTGCTCTTGGTGTTAGCTAATTTTTTCCCCCTGAATTGATAACTGAATTATTGTCTCCTAAGATACCTATTTAAAATATTCCAGACTAATGCATTGAATGAGTCTTGCAAATGATCACTTCAACCAGTCCTTCTCCTTGGTGTTTTAAAATTGGTGTATATGTCAGTCAGATAGAATATGGATGCTCATCAGGCTTCAACCTTTCTATGTTACATGTGCTCATGGAAAAAATACTTTATTGCCTTCTCCAAGAGTAGCTGGTTATCTCTGCATTTTTATCTTGAATCCTGCTAAAGTTTCCTTACTAAAAATTGAGTAGGAAAAGAAAGAAGTTGAAATAAAAAAAAAAAAAGAAACGTAAACAACATAATCTGTCAATTAGTGACCCCCAGGCCTGTTACCCACAGTTGGCACCAGGTGCTGGTGAATTAAACCCAACAGGTGTTCAAATGAGCCAACACAGATAATTAACTTAAATGGCCCCATTTTCTTAAAAACTGTCATAAAATAAACCCCCTCTTCTCTTTCACGGGGTATAGAATTATCTGGCACTTTGTAAGGCCTAGCTCTTTTAAAAAGGCCTAATTTCAGCCTCTGATTTTGTGGGTGCAATTCACTGCATGCTGCACATTTAACTACATAATTGTTCATGCAAAGGAGGTAGTTAAAATGTGTGTCATCAGCCATGCCCACAGTTGTCATAATTGCAGATGTAAATCAGCTTGTGCAGCAAATGAGGCTGTTTTGCACAATCCAAACCCACCTTTCTAA